GTAGAGTTTACACTAGAGTGGGACGGTCTTTTTGTTTTCAACAAGACAGGTTTCAAAATTGGTACATGGATGTTTGGTACAGGACTGTTTTGGAATCGGTGAGGCAAAGTTAAACTAGGGTCAGGGGAGTTTTCAACGAGGTTGGTTTCGAAATTGGGGCATGGATGTTTCGGAGTTGGATGGGAACGTTGTCACTTGTGACAGTAAACGAAGGGGGATAAATGTTTGTCTGTTACTTTGTCCTTTGTCTGTCCAAGGGAATAGTGTGGGTAGTGGTATGGTGTGTTTATCAAGCGGGTGTTTAGGGATAGGGCGAGGGCGGCGGACAAAGTTGTCGATGTAGGTAGGGTGCAAGAGATATTCAACGAGGAGTGGCGTCTACAACTTACATAGCCCAGTCTGTTGGAGTAGTGTCTAGGGGTTGTGATATTAGTTGAATAAATATTTGTCTTTAGGATTGTCATACAGCCTTTGTCTCTTAAATGGAATAGAATGGGTAGTGGTACGGTCTGTGTATCTAGCGGTTGGTATTGAGGTTAGTGTGATGACGCAAGGTTGGATGGGAGAAGGGGAAAGGGGTTGCGGACAAAGGGAAGGGGAAGGGCGAATAGTGATAAAAATAACTCACCCAGCCCCTTAATCAATAAAAATTATTGATTTGTACTTTAGAGTGATTAGATTGAATGATATGTATGCTAATGTCATATGATATTTAGTTTTTACGTCATTATTTTGGTGAACTTTAAATGTAGACATTTTAAACGGTGTGTCATTTGACACGACGTTGTTGTTTTTTAAAACTTGAAGTTTATAATCTTAAGCAAATTTTTACTAAGGTGATCAAAAATTAAGATGACAATGTAAGGTATAGAAAAAGAAAATACATTGAGTGGTAAAAATAAAAACTTGTCATTAGACGTAGTGTATTATGTATAAGTAAACTTGCTTAAAAATTAACGAAGTTCAAGTCAAAAAGAAGTTTGATGAAAACTGTAATACTAAAGCGAACATGGGGAGGTAATCTGCTGCAAGACTAAGATATATATTCGTCTTCCTTCTAGGTTCATTGCCTTTTTTGGTTGAGGTTAAACATCGCCATGTTTTCAAATATCGCGATGTACGTCACGTTCTCTCCCCTCTTACCTAGTAATCGCTTCCTCTACCCATTGTTTACAACACGCTTACAAAGAAAAAATATCCCACCCTCTACTTGAGACATAAAATACAAAAGTGTATTGTGCCTTGTCGTCACAGGAAACAAAAACGGTAGCGTCTAATGTTGTTAACCCTTGTCTTCCTAAATTATTTTTTAACTTGTTAAAGAAATTGACTGTTTAGTTAAGGAATCTGACGCGAATTTTTTTTTTCACAAGGGACGATACTCGTGTGTGTAGACAAGTCTGTTCTAATTTTAGAACAGTTGTCTTTCCTCTCGTTTCTCTATTAGGGAAGCCGTAAGGGGAAGACACGCGACACGTCTTTTAAAATGTAAACAACCGTGCACGGGGTACACTTAAAATAAACCCCGCTGCGAAAATGACAATGGCATGGTGACACTTTTTGGAAAACACGCTTTCATGTAAATAAAATAAGAGTCGCTTTTGTTGTCGCCATGATAATGTATACCTATAAGTTCTCTCCGCCATTACCGACCTAGTATGAATTTCGCGCGCGCGCGCATGTGTGTGTGTGTGTGTGTGTGTTTGTGTGTGTGTGTGTGTGTATGTATATCTCAAAAAAGCGTATCATGTCAACACCTGGGCAACAAGTCATAGTCAAAAAGGCCTAATTCATTACAGATCTATAGGAAATCCCTCTTTACATGTACTTACGTTAGGGGGAGTAAACTCATTTGAATAAAAAAAACGTATTTAAATATATAGAGTTATAGAACCTTAACCCCGCATACCTACGTACCAACGCATCAAGTCGCCCTGTCGCCCATTAAAAAACACGAACCTACCGAGACTTCGTTTCGTCTCAAAACCTGACTTAACGGTGGTTGAAAGAAAATTCCGACCCTTAAATATATTTTTGTTTTCGCTGACCCTCGCTATAAGCGAATAGTTACAACCATTAATCTTTCATACATAGCAAGGGACGGTTCGCAGGACATGTGGAAACAAAATTTTTTTAATTTGATCAAAGAATGACCGGGCGTACGATATGTGAACATAGTTCATGTACAGCTGAAGTCTAATGAAAAAAGCCGAGAGCCGTGACTAATTACAGCACCAGCTGTCGCCACACTTAACGCGGAGAGGGACTTAATGGTTTCGATTAATTACCTGTTGTGATCGCTTCAGTGAGTCCGCTATTAAGCAACCACGGGGAGCGCCGGGGAGGCTCACGGGCGGATCGATAAGTACAAGCTGTCGCTAATAAGTAACAGCTGTGGTTAAATGGATGTTATACACAATGACACTTTCTAGTACACGCTAGTGTTAGTCTTTTATTTCAAACGGCGTACAACAAAGAAATTAAAAGCAAACTAATTAAAATGAATTTCAAACAAATAAATTATACAAAGTAATTAAATTAAACAACAAGTAAACAACAATTAAAAATAAAATTTAAAAATAATAATTTAAAAATTTTTTAAAAATTTAAAAAAATTAAAATCAAATTACGTAACTCGTTAATAATAATTAAACTAATTATAAAATTAAATTAAAAATTTAAAAATTTAAAAAATTAAAATCAAATTACGTAACTCGTTAATAAAAATTACACATAGGTGGACCATCATACTGATGGTCAGTGGGTGCGATCGATATGAACTTGACCCTTGTACGGTGTTTGATAAGAACAAAGGATCGCTGGTGAATCGATACGTGCCGGGTGCCATTAGCGAGTAACAGGTGTTGTTAATCGTTATCTTTAATGAATGTTCTATGTTTGTAACGTTCGTTGTGGTGGAGAATTTAACCTGTTTTTTGTACACGGTCGTTGTAGGGGAGAATTTAAAACATACATACAACAAAATAAACAAACCAACAAATTAAACAACAAAGAAAAGAAATATATCAAATAAATAAATTAAACAAAGTAATTGAAATCAAAGAAATAAAATGAATTTCAAACTAATAATCAAATTAAAATAATTACTAATTATAAAATAAAATTTTAAAAAATTAAAAATTTAAATAAAAATCAAATTAATTAAACTTATTAAAAATAAACAGACAAAACACAAACAAAGTAATTAAAATCAAATTAATTAAAAATCAAACAAATAATCCAATTACGTAACTCGTCAATAAAAATTACAAAACAAAATAAACAAAGTAATTAAATTAAACAACAAGTAAACAAATAAACAAATATAAAATTTAAAATTAAAAAATAATAATTTAAAAAATTTAAAAATTTAAAAAAAAAAAAAAATTAAACTCCAATTACGTAACTCGTTAATAATAATTAAACTAATTAAAATAAGTTAATAATAATTAAACTAATTAAAATAATTAAAATTACAAAATTTAAAAATTTAAAAAAATTTAAAAATTTAAAAAAATTAAAATCCAATCACGTAACTACTCAATAAACATTTTAAAATTACACAATATAAACAAAGTAATTAAAATCAAATTAATTAAAAAACACATTAAAATTACGTAACTAGGTCAAAAATTAATTAAAATTTAAAAAACTCATTAAAACTAATTAAAAAACTCATTAAAATTACGTAACTAGGTCACTGATTACGTCACAAGGTCACCGGTGGTGACCTACTGACCTACTCCGCATCCGCATCCCCCACCCTAGGGTGGGTGAGTATTTTACTATATCTCGTTGTACCAGGCTGTTCACCCACCCTCACCCACCCTCACCCAGGTGGGTGAGTATTTTACTATATCTCATTGTACCAGGCTGCTCACCCACCCTCACCCACCCTCACCCAGTTGGGTGAGTATTTTACTATATGAGGATGTACCTCCACCTCCCCCAGGGAGTATTTTACTATATCTCGTTGTACCAGGCTGCTCACCCACTTACCCAGGTGGGTGAGTATTTTGCTATATGTCATTGTACCAGGCTGGGGGAGTATTTTCCTATATAGCCTTTGTTCCGCATCCGCATCCGCATCCGCATCCTGCTCACCCATTCGCTCCAAAAGGGACCTAATATACTACTCATTAGTGATAAAGCAAAGAAATAACTAAATATGCAAAAATCCGACACATATAATATTACTTAGGTTACCAATACATATTAGAAAAATAAAAACAAAATTATATACATTATATGTCAACACAACACCATATCAAGTGATTAGGTGGCTCAAATGATTCCGTTAAAAAACAGTCTATTCGATGGTATTTTTTGTCTTTTAAAAAAATGATTTATTTTTTTAAATTTTATAATTTTTTGCCAAGAAAAATGTATAAATTCCATAGCGTACGTCTTCTTAGTAGATTTATAGATCTAAATCTTATTTGAATGATATAGTTCATCCCTTTATATTCTAAAATTGGAAGATGTGGGAAGTGCATCTTAGTGAAGATGACGTCATTAGTATTGTGCATCATTTTCGACTTTCGATTTCTAATTCTATTTTTATCGTATAATCAATGACGCCATTAGTGTTGTGTCATTTTCGTAGTTTAAACTTTTTATTAACATTGTTTGATCATGATATATTTCTCATTGTTTCATGTGCCGCCCTTGTTTTTGCCAGTGTTTGCTTTTGTGCTGTTTGTATGTTCTCTAGAGATTTTTTTGTCAGAACTATAAACACTTTTCCGGTTGAATAATTAAATATGTGTTTCTACATTCGAATATGCCCTTACGCTTATTTTTCTTCTTTCAACTAATTTTAGTTTATTCATTTAATACATCCAAAATATTATTTGTAACAAATTTCCGTATCTTTAAGTTCTCCATATATTGCTGAAGATACTGATCATGGGCTTATATATATATATATATATATATATATATATATATATATATATATATATATATATATATATATATATATATATTAGGATACTGACCTCAATATACCCTGGAAGTAATGTAATCTTCAGCTGAAAGGGAATATTGACTTCAAATTTGTGATTCTTGAACACTTCTTCCATGCCCCATTCATTATTAGTCTTGTGGTTTATGACAATAGCATTCCCAGTAAATCGAACATCGAAAGCCATAGTTATATCAGGTATGTTGTCCACTGTTGAGTTTTGTGCGTTCAAGCCAGAACTACATGTCAGGAAAATTGTGAACCTGTTTTCAGAATTATCAAAGTCGATTCTTGAGAAACATTTAATATGAATGTTTTTGCATTTTCAAAAAAAAACAACAAAACTGATACGTTTTACATCGTACTTATGCGTCTGGATTGAAATAATTTTCCATAGTTAAAGAATAATTTATTAAAACCTAAAAAACTAAAAATTAGTTTCAGCATCAACGAAAGAAAAAAAAATCCGCTACACAGAATTGTCAAAATATTTGTATTAAGCTAAAAAATATTATCTAAAAGAACATTTTACTCTTGTTAAAGTATGTTTATCAAAATTTACAAAACTATAAAAAAAAGTTTCAGTATCGGAGAAAGAAAAAACAAACAACAATACAGAATTGTGAAAATATTTATATTTAACTAAAAAGAATGTTTGAAAGCTCATTTTAAATATTAATAAACCGGGAGTGATCTCCCCTAAACTTTATCGAATATTCTAATATAACACTACGGGGGATGGCAACTCGGGACATAATACAATATTTTTATTCCATTTTTAATTACTTAAACTTGTTATAATAGAATAGAATCTCATTAAACAAAAGAATTGCACGCCAAGTGAACGCCAAATAAAATGTGCATAATAGTGCGGGATATTATTAGTACTTTACAAATTTACATGCGTTTTTTTTTTTGAGAAATCGGAAACATCGTAAATTACTTCTTTCGGTCGACGGAAATTACTCAAAATTTGATAGCAGGCAGAGAATTAGATGTTATACTAACATGTGAAATTTCATTTATCTATCTGATATAGTACTCAAGTTATAGGCTTTTGAAAAATTCCACGCAAAAAGTACCCCTTCCGGTTATCAGAAATCGCTCAAAAGTTGATACGGATCTACGATTTTGATAAAATACATATATATGAAATTTCATCAACCTAGCTGTAACAGTACTCAAGTTATCGTGTTTACACACACCACACACACACACACACACACACACACACACACACACACACACACACACACACACACACACACACACACACACACACACACACACACACACAGACATATGGACAAGATGCAAAACTAGTTTTTTCCGACTCAGGGAGCCCTAAAACATCGAGATTTCCAAAAATCTCTACTTTTTTGTACGATTGCAAGACTTTCTCTATACTTCGTACTTCGTATATACGAGAAAGTAATAAACCTGGAGTGATCTCCCCTAAACTTTCTCGAATATTCTTATATAACTCAGGATATAGACATGATTTTTAATTATATTAATTACGAGAAAAATGGCCCGTTGAGGAAGGATACACCGGGCGCTAGGTTGATAGTGCTGTCTCTTTTCTCTAAACTAAAACCAACCCACCCCCCCCACACACACCACCCCCCACCCCCACGCCTCCCACCCCCACCCACCCCACCCACCACCCCCCAAAACCCACTCCACCCCCACCCACCCACCCCCACCCCCACCCCCATAAAAACATGTCTACCGTCCCACGAAATATAATTATATACTTTTTCCAGTGTCCGCCCCCTCCCCAAAAATTCTACCCCCGCCCCGAAAATTTCAAGTACCCCCACCCCTCTCCGGGGAGGAAAAAGTCTGAAAGAAACACTGGTGTCGCGCTTAGCCACTACGCGAAGAATTGCATTAAAGAAATTGCGAGAAAACCACTTTTTAGATTAGACACATTAATTAGGCGGTAATTTTATTATAGAGTATCGATGAATAAATTTCTTTTGAGTTGGGGAGGGGGGGGGGGCTCAGACGTTCTTACGCGGGGGGTGGGGCTTCGCCCCTACCCGAAGAATTGTATGCAAGAAACTCTTCACGCAAACCATTTAGATTAGACAACATTTCCTTTTTATTCAATGTTTACGCGATAATCAATGACGTCATTATATTACTGTGTGCACTTTCCGCCTTGAGATTATTTTCAACTCTATGCTAAATGTGTCGACGTCATACTTCGTTTTTCGAATTACTATGCAGGTTTTTATTTTGCTTGTGTTTTCTCTATAGCGTTCTTGTCAGATAGAATTTTTGCTTATGTTTTCTCTAGAGCGTTCTTGTCAGACAGAGCGTTCTTGTCAGATAGATACATAGATACACAGACAGCGAAACTATTAGTATTAACGAGAAAAATGGCCCGTTGAGGAAGGATACACCGGGCGCTAGGTTGATAGTGCTGTTTCTTTTCTCTAAACTAAAACCAACCCACCCCCCCCCCCCACACACCACCTCCACCCCCCACCCCCCCAAAACACACCACCCCCCACCCCCAACCCCCCCCCCACCCCCACCCCCCAAAAAACATGTCTACCGTCCCATTCAACGAAATATAATTATATACTTTTTCCAGTGTCCGCCCCCTCCCAGAAAATTCAACACCCGCCCCCGAAAATTTCAAGTACCCCCACCCCTCTCCGGGGAGGAAAAAGTCTAAATTAAACCCCCCCACTCACCCCACCCCCCACACACCACCCCCCCACCCCCCACCCACCCCCCCCCTAAAAAACATGTCTACCGTCCCATTCAACGAAATATAATTATATACTTTTTCCAGTGTCCGCCCCCTCCCCGAAAATTCTACACCCGCCCCCGAAAATTTCAAGTACCCCCACCCCTCTCCGGGGAGGAAAAAGTCTAAATTAAACCCCCCCACACACCACCCCCCACCCCCCACCCACCCCCCCCCCCCCTAAAAAAACATGTCTACCGTCCCATTCAACGAAATATAATTATATACTTTTTCCAGTGTCCGCCCCTCCCCGAAAATTCTACACCCGCCCCCGAAAATTTCAAGTACCCCCACCCCTCTCCGGGGAGGAAAAAGTCTAAATTAAAACCACCCCCCACTCACCCCCCCCCCCCACACACACACCACCCCCCCCCCACCCCCTCTAAAAAAAACATGTCGACCGTCCCATTCAACGAAATATAATTATATACTTTTTCCAGTGTCCGCCCCTCCCCAAAAATTCTACACCCGCCCCCGAAAATTCCAAGTACCCCCACCCCTCTCCGGGGAGGAAAAAGTCTCAAAGAAACACTCGTGTCGCGCTTAGCCACTACCCGAAGAATTGCATTAAAGAAATTGCAAGAAAACCACTTTTTAGATTAGACACATTAATTAGGCGGTAATTTTATTATAGAGTATCGATGAAGAAATTTCTTTTGAGTTGGGGAGGGGGGGGGGGGGGGCTCAGACGTTCTTACGCGTGGGGTGGGGCTTCGCCCCTACCCGAAGAATTGTATGCAAGAAACTCTTCACGCAAACCATTTAGATTAGACAACATTTCCTTTGTATTCAATGTTTACGCGATAATCAATGACGTCATTATATTACTGTGTGCACTTTCCGCCTTGAGATTATTTTCAACTACATGCTAAATGTGTCGACGTCATACTTCGTCTTTCGAAATACTATGCATGTTTTTAATTTGCTTGTGTTTTCTCTATAGCGTTCTTCTCAGATAGAATTTTTGCTTATGTTTTCTCTAGAGCGTTCTTGTCAGACAGAGCGTTCTTGTCAGATAGATACATACACAGACAGCGAAACTATTATTATAGATATTTTTAAAAATAGAATAGAATCTCGTAGAAAATAAATTGCGCACCAAGCGAACGCCAAAACAAAATGTGCATAATAGTGCGGAATAGTATTAGTACTTTATAAATTTACATGCGTTTTTTGAGAAATCGGAAATGGCGTAAATTACTACTTACGGTCAACGGAAATTACTCAAAATTTGAAAAAGTACCGGTTATAGGAAATCGCTCAAAAGTTAATTAGGATCTAAGATTTTGATAAGATACTTATATATGAAATTTCATCAACCTAGCTGTAACGACACTCAAGTTATAGTGTTTACACATACACATACACACACAGACACACACACACAGACATACGGACAAGATTGCAAAATTATGTTTTTCCGTATCAGTGAGGTGTAAAACGTCGAGATTTGCAAAAATCTCGATTTTCTTTGCACGATTACAAGACTTTCTCTATACTTCGTATATACGAGAAAGTAAAAAAGTAGCTGGTAGAAACTTGTGAACATATTTTAATACAAAAATATGTTATTTCTGAATCAACACCCCTCCCTTAATTAACGTTGGATATCAATTTAAAGATCTACATCCGATTTATTAGAACTATTTCCAAAACCTGAACTCAATCAACAGAACACACACAGAGCAATGAACAAAATATCTGTTTAAAGCATTCGCATTAATTAATTTTTGTAAGCTTTAATCCTCCCCCAATATTAAAAAAAAACTTTTATAGACTTTAGAGCCTATGTAAGTCATAGGGAAAAATAAACGTTAAAAATGAAACATATAGCGTTTATTTTAAATGAAATCAAATGTATATGATAAATTAGCGACACTGCTTATTAATCTTTTTTGTTGTGTTCAGGTTCAGGTTTATCTTGTGGTTCCTGTAAACTGTTAAAGTCCAAGTTCCTTGTGGTAAAAGGTTAAGGTTAGAGCCGATGCTAAGTTTGAGGTTAAGCTTTCAGATGTAAAAAAAAAGTAAAGTTTCCCTTTCAAACCTGACGGTATATGGGGCAAGTGAGGTAGAGTTCACTTGTTTCTGTGACCTCGGCATATGAAGAGATAGTGTGGTCAGCACTATGCCCAGCCGCCGTTCCTTTCCCTAACGTGAGTTAAATACCCATCAGAGTTGGGTGGACTCAGGGACGGTTTACTGACTTGAACCCGAATTCGAACTCGAGACTTACGGGTTAGCAGTCCAGCTCTCTACCGATAGACAACTTCGTCCCACAAGCTTTCAGATGAGGTTAAGGTTAAACTTTCAGCAAAGTTTTAGTTTTGTCAGCATAGTGCTCGTCTAAGTTTTTCCTCAACGTGCTAATTATTTATTCTTTTTTAAAATAATTTTCAGCATATAAAATTAAGAGAATATTTTTAAAGAATTCCTTAAAGTTGGCTAAAAAATATAATATTGCCCTTTAAAAGCAAATCATGAAGAAGAAAAAATGCATATACCTTTCTGTGTTTTTAGTTGGGAATCCATTGACGATGATCATTTCTCCAGCTGGGTCTACCTCAAGTTGAACCACCTTTGGCTATTTAATAAGAACTTACTGATTAGAGTTTGCTAATATTAATATTTTCCAAATCATGTTTTATCGGAAAACTATCATTATTTTCCCGCATTTTTTTCTCAGCATATATATATATATATATATATATATATATATATATATATATATATATATATATATATATATATATATATATATATATATATATATATATATATATATATATATATATATACACATAATTTTTATGAAAGCCCTTTCAGTTCTAATAACCTTGCGAGTTATAAGTTTGCGAATATTCCATCAAATTATGGGTACAATAAAAGTACCCCATTGTATAAATTAAAAAAAAAAAGCATTTAACATAACAGCCAATCACATATTAATTAATTATTCAATTTCTCAACTTTTTTGAAAACCTAAGCGAAGCTAGGCAGTATGCTTAGTTATTTAATAAATAAAAAAGAAGTAGGCTTTTTAGTGTTAACAAAGTACCAACTGAGTACAACAAATGTAACGAAAAGTAGGTCAGGAAAATAACATATCTGTGTAATTTGTAAAGCCGATTGTAAGCCTTTGGGTGTTTCCAAGATGATTGAAAATCCGCTTATCAAATACATACGAAATTCAGCTTACCAATTATGTCAAATGCAATATGATGACGGATTATAAAACGTTTAGTAGAAATCTTGTAAAATTGAGATGATTTTTTTTAATTAACAGGGTCACAAAAATGGTATTTTAAACACAAAAAGGGTTTTCATTCTCCTTCTTCTTCGTTCCTATTTTTTTTTCCAATAAGTCTATTATTTTCATACTATACAATTGAATTAGAAAATAGTTAAATCGGCCCATAAATTCTTATTCGTGCCTTAAAAACAACATATATGTATATATATATATATATATATATATATATATATATATATATATATATATATATATATATATATATACCTAAATATATATATAAATATATAAATATATATATATATATATATATATATATATATATATATAATCAGAGCTAAATTCTTCTTTTAATAAAAAAAAAAGGATTTTGTTCAACTTACCGGGGAACGATACTACAATTGTTGAAATCAATTTAAAAAATCGTGTTAGTACGTATTTATTAACATACAGAAGACATTATAATAAGATATAACAAAGTTTATTATATAAAAATTGTCGTATATAATATGTAATCTTGCTTTAAAATATAGTATACTTTTTATCGAAAACAATATTTCCTTGGTATACCTTCTTTAGGCGTGTTATACTGTAAAGATTTATGCAGCTGTCATATTTACATTTTGTAACAATAATTTGGAACAACCCTCATTTTTCAAATATTCAGTGACTCCACATTTTTTAGTAATTTTTATATTAATGTATCTATTACTTAAACATTTATATTTAACAGATAACATCAACCATCAAAGTTTCTCGAATGACTCCATTTCTTCTCCACACATAAAGCATACATACACTTATAGACAAACACAACGAACCGAGTAGAAAATCCTCTTGATGTCAACATTACCATCAACATGTATGTAGTGGATTAGATCTTTGGACATCTGGAGATTAAAATCTCTAAAAAACACTTCGTTGATGGACAGCTAAAAATAAAATTTATTTAAATAATTTCAAAACTTAAAAAATAATTACTAGAGGCCCATTAATATTTTTTGTAAAATCTACATACCTTAAACAAATTATTCAATAGAGCTATCTTGAACTCAAAGTCTTTCCCTCGGACAAATGGGATTGTTTCTACTCTATCTTTCTCATCCGACCAAAGTCCGTCCTTTTGGTAGGTTATCTCCACATAATTTTGGTTAAAGTCAACGTAAACTTGTAGAGGTATATTCTCTGAATAATATTCATTGTCAGAGAGGCTCACCATAAAGCTTCAAGAAATATAAACACATTTTCTCTAGCATGAGTAAGAAACATTTTAAAAATGTGGTTATAGTGTTATAGCAAAAGCTGTCTACCACAACAAAGTACAAAATATAAGCAGGCCAGCCTGGGTGCGAAATGCTAATAAAGAATGAACTAGGCGTAACATTTGACCCCCCAACCCCTCCGCACCCGATGACATATAAATAGAAGAATAATAATCTTTAAATCTTTAAATCTTGATCATATATTTGTTTATGTTCTAATAACACTTTCTACTAAGTCAAATTTTTAATTCTTTGTCTGTTGTGACATTGAAGCTTAGTTTAACCAGCATTTCTTTTATGTTCTAAAAACACTTTCTACTAAGTCAAATTTCAATACTGTGTCTCTAGTGACATTGAAAGCTTAGTTTAACCAGCAGCTTCCGAATTGCCTGCGTACTCTCAATATAGCTATTGTCATTTTAAAAACTTTTCGGTGGAATTTCATGATCCTGTCCATTGCAAAAATGAAGGAAAGTAAATCAATAGCAAATTATTAATACTAATAGTTTCGCTGTCTGTCTATGCATCTATCTGACAAGAAGGCTGTAGAGAAAACACAAGCAAAATAAAAACATGCATAGTAATTCGAAAGACGAAGTATGACGTCGACACATTTAGCACAGAGTAGAAAATAATCTCAAGCCGGATAGTGCACACATTAGTATGACGTCATTGATTATCGAGTAAACATTCAATACAAAGGCAATTTGGTCTAATCTAAGTGGTTTGCGTGAAGAGTTTCTTTCATACAATTCTTCGGGTAGGGGCGAAGCCCCACCCCCGCGTAAGAACGTCTGAGCCCCCCCCCCCCCCTCCCCAACTCAAAAGAAATTTCCTCATCGATACTCTATAATAAAATTACCGTCTAATTAATGTGTCTAATCTAAAAAGTAGTTTTCTTGCAATGGGACGGTAGACATGTTTTTTTTGGGGGGTGAAGCGGTGTGTGGAGGGGGTGGTGTGTGTGGGGGTGGTGTGTGGGGGTGGGGGGTGGGGGGGGGTGTGTGTGGGGGGGGGGTGGGGGGGGTGGGGTTGGGGGTGGTGTGTGGGGGGGGTGGGTTGGTTTTAGTTTAGAGAAAAGAGACAGCACTGTCAGCCTAGCGCCCGTTGTACCCTTCCTCAACGGGCCATTTTTCTCGTTAATACTAATAGTTTCGCTGTCTGTCTATCTATCTATCTGAAAAGAACGCTCTAGAGAAAACACAAGGAAAATAAAAACATGCATAGTAATTCGAAAGACGAAGTATGACGTCGACACATTTAGCACAGAGTAGAAAATAATCTCAAGCCGGATAGTGCACACATTAGTATGACGTCATTGATTATCGAGTAAACATTCAATACAAAGGCAATTTGGTCTAATCTAAGTGGTTTGCGTGAAGAGTTTCTTTCATACAATTCTTCGGGTAGGGGCGAAGCCCCACCCCCGCGTAAGAACGTCTGAGCCCCCCCCCCCTCCCCAACTCAAAAGAAATTTCCTCATCGATACTCTATAATAAAATTACCGTCTAATTAATGTGTCTAATCTAAAAAGTAGTTTTCTTGCAATGGGACGGTAGACATGTTTTTTTTGGGGGGGAAGCGGTGTGTGGAGGGGGTGGTGTGTGTGGGGGTGGTGTGTGGGGGGTGGGGGGGGGGGGGGGGGGGTGGTGTGTGTGGGGGGGGGGGTGGGGGGGGTGGGGTTGGGGGGTGGTGTGTGGGGGGGGTGGGTTGGTTTTAGTTTAGAGAAAAGAGACAGCACTGTCAGCCTAGCGCCCGTTGTACCCTTCCTCAACGGGCCATTTTTCTCGTTAATACTAATAGTTTCGCTGTCTGTCTATCTATCTATCTGAAAAGAACGCTCTAGAGAAAACACAAGGAAAATAAAAGCATGCATAGTAATTCGATAAACGAAGTATGACGTCGACACATTTAGCACAGAGTAGAATAAAATACTTAAAAAAAACTTTTTAAAAAACCACGTTTTTCTTGTGGACTAAAAAGTAGAAAATAACTATTTACATACATTTGATGACAAAAAACGTGGGTACGTTCACCATCAAATTTCCCGACCCATCTGCCCGACCCACGTTTTTTGTCATCAAATGTATGTAAATAGTTATTTTCTACTTTTTAGTCCACAAGAAAAACGTGGTTTTTTAAAAAGTTTTTTTTAAGTATTTTATTTTCTCCTTTTTAGTCCGTTGCTACACATGAAAAACGTGGTTTTTAAAAAAGTTTTTTATATAGTTTATTTTCTACTTTATCTAATGACTTGATTAAGTATGAATTGACTAAGTGTTTATAAATACACGGACTAAAAAAATCTTGAGCGATCAGGATTCGAACCTGGGTTGTCGCGGCCACAACGCGAAGTACTAACCACTATACGATCACGGCCAGCGCGCTCACATCGATTGGGGCCGAAGTAACTGTGTCAACAAGCCTCCAGTCTTGTCGGTATCTTTAGAAATCATGTCCTCAATTTTATGGTCCTTTGGGCGTAATTAAATTAAGCTAATTACGGTCTCTAATTGCTAGTTTTTATGATTGCATCTGAAATTGTTAGGCGAAAGTAACCTGCATGCCAAATTTCAGATCTATAGAGCAATCAGAAGTGGGCTAATTTTCGATGTCAATTTTAACAACAAACACATCCACGCGAAGCTGAGTTAATAAAAACGTGTTAAAAAATAATCTCAAGCCGGATAGTGCACACATTAATATGACGTCATTGATTATCGAGTAAACATTCAATACAAAGGCAATTTGGTCTAATCTAAGTGGTTTGCGTGAAGAGTTTCTTTCATACAATTCTTCGGGTAGGGGCGAAGCCCCACCCCCGCGTAAGAACGTCTGAGCCCCCCCCCCCTCCCCAACTCAAAAGAAATTTCCTCATCGATACTCTATAATAAAATTACCGCCTAATTAATGTGTCTAATCTAAAAAGTGGTTTTCTTGCAATTTCTTTAATGCAATTCTTCGCGTAGTGGCTATGCGCGACACCAGTGTTTCTTTCAGACTTTTTCCTCCACGGAGAGGGGTGAGGGTACTTGAAATTTTCGGGGGCGGGGGTAGAATTTTCGGGGAGGGGGCGGACACTGGAAAAAGTATATAATTATATTTCGTTGAATGGGACGGTAGACATGTTTGTTTTAGGGGGGGGGGGGGTGGGGGGTGGTGTGTGTGGGGGGTGGGGGGTGGTTTTAATTTAGACTTTTTCCTCCCCGGAGAGGGGTGGGGGTACTTGAAATTTTCGGTGGCGGGGGTAGAATTTTCGGGGAGGGGGCGGACACTGGAAAAAGTATATAATTATATTTCGTTGAATGGGACACCAGTGTTTCTTTCAGACTTTTTCATCCCCGGAGGGGGGGACTTTTTCTAATCTAAAAAGTGTTTAGCTTGCACAGTTTTTTTTCATGCATCTCTTCCGGTAGGGGCGAAGCACCGCAGAGGTTCTTCCTTTAGTTTGTATGATCTACAAATGCGACCAGTGTTTCTTTCAGACTTTTTCCTCCCCGGGGAGGGGTGGGGGTACTTGAATTTTTTGGGGGGCGGGGGTAGAATTTCCTGGGAGGGGGCGGACACTGGAAAAAGTATATAATTATATTTCGTTGAATGGGACGGTAGACATGTTTTGGGGTGTGTGTGGAGGGGGGGGGGGGGGGCGGAGCCCCCTCCTCCCAAGTAGAGTTGCCTAAAAGAAACTCTAAATGCGACTTTCGTCATGAATGAGATTAGGTGCATGGTTTAGGGATATGCCTATGACTATATTTTGTATAAATTAAAGTACCGATTCTGGATAAAAATCCGTTTTCAATGTCATTTTTCGTTTCCGTTTAAATTGAATTAAAGTGGTGATTTTGGTTTTGGTTTTAGTTTAGAGAAAATAGACATCACTATCAACCTAGCGCCCGTTGTATCCTTCCTCAACGGGCCATTTTTCTCGTCTATAATAATAGTTTCGCTGACTGTCTATCTATCTATCTGTGTATCTATCTATTTATGTATCTGACAAGAACGCTATAGAGAAAATACAAGCAAAATAAAAACTTTCATAGTAAAAGGAAAACGAAACATGACGTCACATTGAGCATATTGTAGAAAATAGTATCAAGCCGGAGAGTGCACACAGTAATCTGACGTCATTAATTCTAGAGTAAACATTGAATTTAATTAATGTGTCTAATGTTATAAGTGTTTTGCGTGAAGAGTTTCTCTTCTGGTAGGGGCAAAGCCCCTTTTACCCCCCCCCCCCTCCCCACGGTAGAACGTCTATTTCCCCCTCACCCCCCCACCGACGGTAGAACGTCTAATCCCCCCCCCCCCTCCCAAAAAGGCATAATATAATTCATAGAGAAAATTTATACTTTTACCAGTGTCGTCCTTCCCCGACCCGTCGAAATTTATTCGCCCATGCAAAAATTCAAGTGCCTCCCCCCCCCCGGAAAAAGCCTGAAACGAACACTGTAGGAAACAGGTCTATATTATAGAAGTGGGCTCTACCTTCAGTTTGTATGAGCTACAAATGCGACCAGTGTTTCTTTCACAGTTATTCCTCCCCAGAAGGGGGAGGGGTTCTTGAAATATTCGGGGGTGAGGGTGGACTAAATTTTTTGGAAGGGGGCGGACACATGTAAAAATATGTTTTTTTTTTAAAATAAAAAGTATATTTTGTTGAATGGGACGATAGACGTGCTTTATAGTGTGTGTGTAGGGAGGGGGGGGGGTGCTCGGGGCAGAGCCCCCCCCCCCCACCTAAATGCGACTTTTTTTTGTGTTTGAGATTAGGTGCAAGGTTTAGGGATTTGACTTCGACTGTGTTTAGTATCAATGTGCAGTAACTACGTGTAGATCAAGCTTAAATCCGGTTAAAATGCAGATTCTGGATAAAAATCCATTTTCAATGACATTTTTCGTTTCCGGTAAAATTTGAAGTTTAGGTGGTGATTTTTTTTTTATTTTCGTTTTTTTTTTTTTTTAATTTCGAGTTAATGAAAAAAGACACCACTATCAGCCTAGCGCCCGTTGTATCTCTCCGTCAACGGGCCATTTATCTTGTTTGAAAGATTTTTTTAACCTTTTCAAATTTACTGTGGCGTGAATTCTTAATAAAACCCCGCAATATTTGAGCAGCTTTTAAAAGAACCTAATCTAGTTTTTAAGCGTTCGTAACATGTTTAAATGCTTCTTGTAGACGATATAGATGAGGAATAAAGCTTCAATTACCCTAATACTAATATCGAGGCAGTGGGATCATGTATTACGCACCAATATATATATATATATATATATATATATATATATATATATATATATATATATATATATATATATATATATATATATATATATATATATATATATAAGTTGAATTTGTTGATATATTAACTGGAAAAACGTATATGTTAATCATATTCAAACGTTAAGAGGGGTAGGAAGAAGGCATTGTTAATGAAATAGAAACGTAGACATAAAGTATTATATCAATGTCAAAGCTCGACACAGGTTTTCACACGTTAACATAGCTAATAAGAGACATTTAAATGATGAAAAATCCGGCACTTAGTATTTCGCACTCGGCATTAGCTTTTGGCTGATAATACTAGAGGTCGTTAGGAAAATTAAATTTATTCTCGTTTAATAGAGAACACTTTGGGGCCTTCTAAAAATAGGGCTCCGGGTTGCAGCACTGTCATGTAAAGTACCATTTGCTGCCGGAATGTTGATTTTACATACCGTTTCAGAACGCTCCCCCCCCCCCCCCACCACCACTTTAAAGGAAAAAGACGAAAAGAAAGTGAAATAAAAACAATAATAGGCATGAAAAAATCTATGTAATCATACTAACTTTAAAAAAAAAACTTGCAAAAAAATATGGCAAGCGATAAAATTATAGTTACATTGTAAAAATTAAAGCTGTTTTGGGAACCATAGATTACACTAATTTTTTATATTTTTGTATCGAATATAGGCCAATGAAAATCCGTTTAGAATCATTTTATGAATTCAAATATTTTCAAAAACTGCCCTCAACCTCTCCTTGAAGTCTACCGGAATGGACAGGGAGAGTAAAACAATAAAAGTTAAAACAATTATTTTCAATGATACAATACACAATTGTGATCTATGCTATATGGCGTTGAATTGTAATTATATTAAACAATAAAGCATCCCCAATCACCACAACACCCTGGCTCTACTAATTCAAATTAAAAATAAGAATGTTTGCCAAATTACTATTAGATCTATATCATTAGTAATTATTTCTTTGACCATTTCTAGCCTTAATGAAACCGGAAGTAATTTCGTACTTATTACACAAATGTTATAAAATAACAATTTTGGTTGAAAAATATATTTTTTTGAACAAAGATGATTAAATTAACTAGTCTTCTTTGCTACTGAGTACCTTTATCAGTTTTTAGATATTATATCTTGCTTACTTTTGGGAAGTCTGAGGAACGAAGGCTTCAACAATAATGGTCTTCTGGTCATCTATCGGGTACTTAATTTTCTCAGAGTATGATAGCATCGACTGGAAAAATAAATAAAATTTATATTAGAGGAAACATGATTGTATGGGGCATTTTTACTTTCTCGTATATACGAAGTATAGAGAAAGTCTTGTAATCGTGCAAAAAAAAATCGAGATTTTTACAAATCTCGACGTTTTACACCTCACTGATACGGAAAAACATAATTTTGCAATCTTGTTATGTTTACATTTGTTTACGTCCATATTAATTTTCATGTTTACTTTCTCGTATATACGAAGTATAGAGAAAGTCTTGTAATCGTGCAAAAACAAAAATTTTACACCTCACTGATACGGAAAAACATAATTTTGCAATCTTGTCCGTATGTCTGTGTGTGTGTGTGTCTGTGTGTGTGTGTGTGTGTGTGTGTGTGTGTAAACACGATAACTTGAGTACCGTTACAGCTAGGTTGATGAAATTTTGTATATAAGTATTTTATCAACATCGTAGATAACTGGAAGTGGTACTTTTTCTACTTTGAATTTTTCACAAGCCTTTAACTTGAGTAATATTTCAGATAAATACATGAAATTTTACATGTAAGTGAAAGATCTAATTCTCTACCTTCTGTCAAATTTTGAGTAATTTCCGTTGACCGGAAGTACTAATTTACGCTATTTCCGATTTCTCTAAAAACGCATGTAAATGTATAAAGTACTAATAATATTGCGCACTGTTATGCACATTTCATATGGCGTTCACTTGGTGTGCAATTCTTTTTTCTACGAGATTTTATTCTATTTTAAAAACTTTAAGTATTTAATATGGAGTTCCCATCCCCTGCTGTTTTATATAAGAACTAGCCATCGGTACCCGTTTCACGTGAATTATAGGCCTATATATTTTAAAACATTGAACTTGTTTGAGAAAAATAATATATAAAATAGTTATTGGTCAAAACGCAATGTGCAGTACCACACGCTGAACGATATTAGTGACAAAGCAAAGAAATAACTAATTAGCTAAAAAATTCGATACATTTAACATAACACAGGCACACACTGATTAAGTGGCTTAAATGATTCCGTTAAAACTCGGCTATTCCATGGTATTCTTCTTGTTTTTTTTTTCCATGGTATTCTTCTTGTTTTTAAAGTGTTTTATTTTTATTAGGTTTTTATGTATAAATCTATAGATTTAAATGAAATAGTTCATTCCTTCATCGGTAAAAGATTTCTTTTAAAAACCCGGCTGTTCAATGGTAGTTATCAAGATCTTAGCGTCTACGCCTAGTTTTTCCGTAGATCTAGTCTAGATCTAGAATCAAGATCTAGATCTATATCTAGAATCCAATTAGATAAAGTAAAAACTTATAAAAGTTTAGGGCGAGAAAATCATTTCATAGCGTACGTAGCACTAAATCACATTTGAATGAAATAGTTCATTTCTTTATTTTATTCTAAACTCGGAAGATGACGTCATTAGTTTTGTGCTCTTTTTTAGTGTAAACATAAGTGACGTCATTGTTAAAAGCGCTCTTGTCCCAACTATAAACACTTTTCCGGTTGCACAATTAAAATTGTTTTTCTACATTCGAATACGCCTTTATTTTTTTATTTTCCTTCTTTAAATAAAATGTTGGTTATACATTTAAAACATCTACCATATTATTTTCAACAAAATTCCGTATCAAATTCTACATATATCGCTGAAGATTCTGATGTGATATCCGGCGAAAATATTTTGCGGACAGAGAGAGAGAGAAGTGCGCATATGGACTTTTATATATTAGGATATTCGAGAAAGTTTAGAGGAGATCACTCCCGGTTTATTAGTTCAAGATCAAGCTCGTGTTTCTAATTATACAAAGTGGTTTGTTTCATTTGGCGTCACCGTATGTTAAGTCAAACTGTTTTCCATATATATATATATATATATATATATATATATATATATATATATATATATATATACATTTAAATAACCCTAATGATAGTTTAACTATTCTGTCACTCTGTCTGTCACTCTATCTTTCACTGTATATGTTGTAAACGCTATACTATCCAAGCAAAGTAAAAACTTTTACAGTCAGACGAAAAACGAAACGTGACGTCACAGGGAACATACAGTAGGAAATATTCTAAATCTGGAAAAGTGCACACTATAATATGGCGTCATTGATTCTAGAGTAAACATAGAATTAAAAAGCCATTGCCCAAAAAATACATAATAATAAGACGTCATCGATACTTGATAATAGGACACAAACATTACCACCTCATTTATTTCTCTAATCTTAAAAGGGGTCTGCGTGCAGAGTTTAGGGGCATGACTACGACTATATTTAGTATCAATGTGTAGTAACTACGCATAGATCAAGCTTAAATCCGGTCAAAATGCCGATTCTGGATAAAAATCGTTTCCGGTTTAATTCGAAGTTGAGGTGGTGATTTTGGTTTTGTTTTCGGTTTAGAAGAAAAAGACAACACTATAAACCTAGCGGCCGTTGTATTTTTCCCTCAACGGACCATATATATATATATATATATATATATATATATATATATATATATATATATATATATATATATCACACACGTACATTTGTAAGTCTGTGTATACGCTTAACTTTTTGTCGAATGACGCTAATTTGTGCAAACATAATATTAATGCACCTATTGAAAGCATTTAGGCGCCTAACTCTAACAGTTATTAATGCAGGTGAAAAAAATCATTGCATTTGTAGTAAATAATTAAATTTGGGGTCACTCCCCACTCCCTCAGATGTGGTTTGATGTGTCAGTTACTACAATTCTCAGAAAAACCTTTTACTTCGGCAAATTCTAAATGTTTAGTTGGTGTGTCTCCCTCCCCCCCCCCCCCCCATCCTCCACCCGGTGATTGCTTTAAACTACCTACACGATCATATCAAATAAATAAATTATTAATTAGTGAAAAAGTCTTTTAATATGGAAATTGACAAATCCCAACAAGGGTGGTGGGGGGGGGGGGGGTTGACACCATAACTTAAACCTGCTAACGATAAAGAAAACATTACAACATCCATCTGTATTTATTACTGACTATAGATGAAAAGTGTGGGCCATTTTATTATCTACTGGATACCTTTACTAATATTTAGAAAGAGACCGACGCTTTTCTTTATAGTTATTTAAATAGTAATGTATTATTCCGTATTTAAAGAAAATAATTTATTTTCTACTTTTTAGTGCAATTTTACATAAAAGTTTGTTATTAAGACGTTTTTAAGGTGGGTTTTTTTCTTCACTATAATATTGTACTTTCTCTTATACAGGGTATAGAGGAAATATTGTCATCGTACACAAAAATCACATGAAATTTTGACAGTTTTCATCGTTTTACACCTCAGTACTTCATCACATACGGAGCATAGGGGACTTTTTTAATCGGGCAAAAATAATAAATGCAGATTGATCAAAATTTTGGCGTTCTACGCGTAATTGAGTCGGGAAAACTGGGCTTTGCAGTTCTGTCCGTATGTCTGAGTGTGTGTGTATGTGTGTCTGTAACACGATAACTTGAGTACCGTTATAGCTAGGTTGATGAAAATTTATGTACATGTATTATATCAAATTTGTAGTTTTGTATCAAATTTTTCAGCGAATTTCGCTAACCGGAATTTGAACTTATTCTACTTTCAATATTACAAAAGCCTATAACTATATAAAATAAACCGGGAGTAATCTCCCCTAAACTTTGTCGAATATTCTTATATAACACTACGTGGGATGGCAACTCGGAATATAGACATGATTTTTAATTACTTAAACTTTTAAAAATTTCATAAAAAACGTTTTAATAGCAAGCTTTTATGTATTAATGCACTAAAAATAGAAAATAAATTATAGACTACCATTTAAATAACTATAAAGAAAAGCGTGGGTCACTTTAGTATCTATTGGATACCTTTATTAATGTTAAGGAAGAGATCCACACTTTTCTTTATAGTTATTTAAATAGTAGTGTATAATTTATTTTCTACTTTTTAGTGCATCAATATATAAAAGATTGCTATTAAAACGTTTTTTGTGACATTTTTGTTTAGTGCATTACATGTTTTTATTTATAATAGAGTTTCATGAGTAAAAACCATTGCGCGCCAACTGAACGTGATAGCGCAGCTATTGAACGTGATGACGTGTGGTTGGATAGACATGCCTACTAATTCGGTCCAAATTTTAATTAATTCATAAAAAATTATTTAGGTATCCAATTAAGTCAAATTTAATTTCAGATTGCATTGTCTTCATGTCTTGACCCACGTGCTAACTGTGAATCGTATAGGTCAAGTAGAAGTGTCTGAATTTTCACTCCGGCGTTTCGATCTAGACAGACTGACGACAGAGGAAGCAAGTTAAATAAAAGCTTGTTAAAATAGAATAGAATCTAGTAGATAAAAGAATTGCGCACCAAGTGAACGCCAAAACAAAATGTGCATAATAGTGTGGAATATTACTAGTTTTTTATAAATTTATATGCGTTTTGTTTTTTGAGAAATCGGAAATAGTGTAAATTACTAATTCCGTTCAACGGATTAGATCTTTTACTTACATGTGAAATTTCATTTATCTATCTGAAAAAGTACACAAGTTATAGGCTTTAGAAAATTCAAAGTTAAAAAAGTACCACTTCCGGTTATCGGAAATCGCTCAAAAGTTGATACGGATCTACGATTTTGATAAAATACTTATATGAAATTTTATCAACCTAGCTGTAACGGTACTCAAGTTATCGTGTTTACAGACACACACTCACAGACACACACACACACAGACATACGGACAAGATTGCAAACATATGTTTTTCCGACTCAGTGAGGTGTAAAACGTCGAGATTTGTAAAAATCTCGATTTTTTTTGCACGATTACAAGACTTTCTCTATACTTCGTATATACGAGAAAGTAAAAAATATTCCAGAAAGTTTAGGGGTGCCCACTCCCAGTTTATTTAAACTTAAATAGGACTGCGTGACTAAAAACATTGCGCACCTAATGAACGTGATAAAGCGCGTGTTATAGTGCGGAATAGTTGGATAAGACAGCCTACTAATTTGGACAAAACTTTCATTAATTAATAAAAACTTAATTAGCCATCCAATTAAGTCAAATTTTAATTTCTTATTGCATTGTCTTCGTGTCTTGACCCATGTGCCAACTTCTGTCAGTTAGAAAACCCGAAATTTTGCTCCAGCGCTTCGATCTAGACAGACATACTGTAGACAGACAGACTGTAGACAGACAGACTGTCGACAGACTGAGGAAGCAAATTAAATAAAAGCTTATAAAAACAAAAAAAATTTGTCAGCACACAGAGTGCATAATCAAGAAAGAGTTCAGCGAGTTTCCACAATTTTCTATCGGTGAGCTTAAACTAAATGAGGGTGGAACGAATAGCACGCCGGTACGAATGACCTACCTCTACTCTATTGGGGATCCGGACAAAAGGCCGACACGGACAAAAGGCCGACATGGACAAAAGGCCGACAAAACAAAAGGCCGACATCCAAAAGGCCGACAAGTTTTATAAATAACAAACTACAATTACAGGCATGTTTAATATCTAAAATATGTACTTATATACGACTTTTTAAGTTTCTCATAAATAT